AAAAGAATATCAACCCAAGGAATGGATTGATCTAACATAATACTCACCATTAACAGAAAAAATCAAAGTAGAAAAACTTGAAGCAACTTTGTAATCCCTTTCAAACAACAAGGCTGTCAACCCCTTATATATCAACTATGAAATACTCAAATACTTAGGAGTCAAAGAAAAAGGAACTTTATATTATCTTTTTAATAAAATCTTAAGTACAAGCCAAATACTTAAAAAATGAAAAAGCAATAACATCTATCTTATTATAAAACCCAAGCCCTGAAAATGTAATTTGAGTAATACAAGACCTATTGTTCTTTTAGAAATAGCTCGAAAATACTTTATCAAGATTCTTAACAACTAATTATCAACTATCTATAAGCAATATAAAATTCTAAAAGGTCCAAACTTTGCTAGTCTATAAGAAGAGAGTATAGCAGAGCCTATATATCTACTGAATAATACTGTATCTGTGAAGAAGCCAGAAAAAAGAAAAAGGAATTATGGATCCTCTTTCAAGATACTGCCAAGGTATATGATACAATATCCTTTTATATGCTTGAAAAGGCTATAGATTAGATTCAAATTCCTATAACCATTAAAAGTTTATAATAAATCTTTTTAAAAATAGAAGTTGTAGTATTATTCTTTTTAATGAACTCTCTAATCCAATAGTAGTAGGAGATAATATAGATTAAGGTGAAACAATTTTTCCTCTTTTATAAAGAATTTTCTATGATTCACTACTATGCAAAATTCAAAACAATGGCAACTTAAGTTATTCTATGGAAAAAGAATGGTTACTCAACTTTAACAAACCTAAGTAAAAAGTTAAGCTCTCTTTAAGATAGGCAGTAATTGCTTATATAAATAACACAATCTGGATTGTCAAATCTAAAGAAGACTTGAAGAGAATCTTGAAAGAAACAAAAAAGTTCTATATAGTAGGTGACTCTTATATTAATGCAGGAAAGTCAATTCTCCTTACTATTAACTGGAATCCTCAAGTTCTTAAAACCATTTAAGCTGGAATAAAAAATACTATAGCTTATGAAATTAATAAAAAAGATCAGGTTAGATTTCTTGATATCTAACTAGAACCAAAACAAAAGAACCAGAATATTATCAATTTAATAAAATCTGAAATTAGAATAGTAATTTAGGCAATAACTAAGAAAAAGTTGACAGAAAAATATATTCAATATGTTATTAATAAGATCTTGATTTCAAAAAGAGAATATAGAATGCAACACATATATTTAAATGAGAAGACATGTAACAAGTTCACAGCTATGTTTAGAAAAATATTTAAGAACAATACCTTAGTCTGTAGAACAATCCCAAACAGTTGTATTCATAACAAAGAAATATATAGTCTCAAGAGTATCTAAGAAATACAGCTAGAAAGCCATATATCCACACTTTCTATCAACTCAATAATAATGATGCCTCCAGTATTACTATCATAATTAGACTAAAATAAAGTTAAATTAAATGTTGAGAGTCTGGTAATATTTGGAAAAATTCTATTAACACTCAGAAGCTAATTAAAGGAAATTTGATAGCTACAACACTGGTCCTGACAAAAAGTATACAAACTATCTTTCAAAGTTGGAGATGAAAAACAATATTTGATCATTAAGGAGATATTCTATTTATTAAATCAATACTACAAAATAATAAAGAATATAAAAAGGCTGTTCCATTACTATACAAGTATAAGATCATATTTCTAGATCAGTTCATTAATACTACTATAATGACACTCAAAGAATAAAGAGCAATTCAAATTTTCTTTAGTAGATACAAGTGACCAGATTCCTCCTGATATAAAAAAGTCTATAAAAAGATAACAATAAATCAAGATCTCATATGAAACTCTCTACATGGACTTAAATAGACAGTTTACAATATGCAGATTGAAATATTTCTGACAAATCTAAATAGAAAAAAAATACATTGAGTAGTCTATACTAATATTTTGACAGACATATTAGAAAAGACAATATTCATAAACAACAAATTCCATTTTATACTATATTAGCTAGTATATGATTCTACTAGTAATTATACCTATTTTCAATCAGATAAAATAGTATAGTCAATAGAAATAGTTCTATCATAAGTTTATCTTCTTTCACAATTAAATAAACATGACAATTTGAGAAAATGAAAACAGATCCTTTTATTAGAAAATCCTATAGATGGGCAAATAAATACATATCATCAAATAGTAACTCTACTAACCATCAGACCTGCAAAAGTAGAAATTCAAGTAGAAGACTAGGACATTATACTAATAGAACAAGTTATACAAACAAAAGAATATAATGATAAACTTATAAGTATTTTGAGATATAACAAAAGAAATATGATTAATTGGCTTATTTTTTATACTGATGACTTCTATAAAAAAGGAATAACAAATTGTAAACTTGAGATGAGTTTAGCTTGAATCTTAATAGAGGATAACAAAGTAGTTAAACAGTTTTTAGCAGGAGCTTTTACTTGACCATCTGCATCAGAGCTAAAATATTAGCTATTTTTACTATATTATATACTACCTTTCAAACTGCAACTGTCATAATTCATACTGATTGTAATATAGTAGCCAAAGTATAGAAATCCATCTGCTCACAAACTGAGATATCAACAAGAAGATGGACAAAGACTATCAACTGACTACTATAAAATAAAATCAAAGATCTAGTGAAGAAGAAAGATCTAAATTTAAAAATCTTGAAGATCAAAATCCATAGAACCAATAGATTTAACAATTAAGTAGATTTACTTGCTAAACAGATTAAGCAGAAGAATTCAATAACTTGGCATCAGCTACCAGAGCTAGGAAGAATTCTTATAATAGCTACATGGTGAAAATATACAATAGAGATTAGTATCAGAAATTTTATTAAAACATTTAATAAGAAAAAAATTAAACTAGACTAGATAATACAGAAAAGGATTCAAGATATTTGAATCTAAGACAATAAAGTCATAGATAGGTTAACCTTTTAGAATTGATTCAATCTAATCAATATTTTTTATATTTCTTTCAAGATCAATAAAGACAAAAGTTTTCTAATTAACCTAATTCACAATAAACTTCCAGTTCTACAAATACTTAAAAAAAGGAAATCAGATGTGTACACTATAATCACTTGTTCAATATGTGAACTTCAAGAAGAAACATTATAACATCTCTTTGAATGCCTAGTTACTAGAGAAACTAGGAAAGACATATGGTAGAAAGTAAATAAAAAGATTCAGAAATCTGATAGTGACCTTTTTAATATTATCTGTAAATATATAGAAGAAGATAAGATTACTTCCTTAAAGAAATATCTCAAAAAGCAATTTATGATTTCACCTGCAATTATATAGAGTATAATTGACAAGTTCAATCGAAAGATATGAGTAAACTTCAAAAAGAAGATCTGAAATAATTGTTGTGTTAAAGTTATAGAATGGAAAAAGAAGCAAAAAATTACTAGAAAAGATAAAAAAAATAAAAGACACAAGTATAGAGTTAATATACAAATTGGATAGAATCAAGAAGTAGTGTTATTACTTTGGAGAATTTGAACTTGGAAGGTATTAAAAAAAAAAAAGGAAAGAAATACATAGCAATTATTAAGAATTGAATTTGTCATGTAATCAAATGATTTGATTTTTAACTGTAAACAAAACTTAGAATGATCTACAGTAATGATCTATAGGCAATGATTTTATTAATTAGAGGAGTTATCCAAATTAGTAAAGGTGTGAAATATCATTTCTTAAGTTGCATTTAGAAAAATAGTTTTTTGATGACAAGTGAGCTAGTATGTGAAAGTTATAACAATTTGTAAATATCTAGCATATACTATATATGATAATGACATACATACTAACCTGACTGTGGACTAAAAAAAAAAAATATTATTATACTATACATTTATAAATTCAAATAAATATTTATTAAATATTTAATAAATATTTTTTTTATAAATTAGTAATGTAAATAATTAGAAATAAAAAAGAATATCAAAAAAATTTTAATAAAAGTTATAGAAAAGAAAAATAAAAATCAAGAAGAAAGGTATATGATTGATAATAATAATAAATAAATTTTTTTTAAAAAATAAATAATTGAATATTTAACTAATCAAATATATTTTTATAATTAATTAATCAAAAAATCAAAAAAAAATATTAACTATTAGAATCAAATCTATATAAAAAAAACTTGATAGTAAACTGTAATAATGTAGATTATAATATTGATAATTGAAAAGGTTAAGATTTTTACTTGAAATATTAATAAAGCAATTTAAAATTAATAAAACTAAAATAAGTCAGAGAATTAGCTTTAATAATATACTATATAATGTCAATTTACTAACCTGATAGAGGATTAAAATAAATAAATAATAGCTTTCTTATATTGTAAATTAAAGAATAATTAACACTGGTGATTATCGAAAAATTCAAGGCATAAGAAATGTTTCTTGAAATTTGCGATATATAGTAAGTCGATCGATACGCCTATGTCAGGGGAAATATATCATGTGCCTTATATAAATAACTGTTTGATATAGATATAAAGTAAATCCGACAGATGATGTACAAAACGAGATAGATATAGATATACGTAATGAGATAATTGATAATCATATTTAACATCATCACATATATAATTAACTTCTTTACACTTGCTGTAAAGTAGTTCACTCGAGGAAATGGTATATAACTAGTTTTTTGCTTTATAATCAACCGGTATAGTTGGAGAATTACAACGTGTACCCATCTTTATGCCTTGCAACTCTATTAGGCTGGCGCATTAGATCTGACAAACGAGCTGTTGCCAAAAATTAGGGATGCTGAAAAGGAGAGCGATTATGGATATGTTTTCGCTGTATCTGGTCCTGGTATGGAATCTCTTTCTATTTCCAAGTTGGCGGTTAACCTTTAATAATAAGCCTTTACATCCATAAGTCGTCATCGCCGAGAAAATGATTGGCTCAGCTATGTACGAATTGGTAGGTAATCATATAATTATTTAAGCCATTTAATTCGATAACTGATGTCACATAATTATATAGGTCCGTGTTGGTCACGAGGAACTTGTTGGTGAAGTAATTCGTATAGACGGTGATAAGGCAACTATTCAAGTGTACGAAGAGACTGGTATTATATTGATCCAAAGAATTATCTGCATTCAAGATCTTTTGAAATTGCGTAGCTCACGAAACTTTTTTCATTGGTAACTATGACTATGTAAAAAGCCGGCTTAACTATAGGAGACCCCGTATTAAAAACCGGGAAACCACTTTCCGTAGAGCTGGGTCCGGGTACATATTGCATTGTTTTTTAAAAAAAAAGAAAAAAAGTCTTTTTTTTTTTCAATATTTTGATGCAAAAACTTTCATTCAGGATTGATGTCCAACATTTACGATGGAATCCAGCGGCCATTAAAGGTAAGGATCAAGCAAGAAATCTTCATTATTAATCAAAACTAACCTTAAACTATACTTAGGCGATTCGCGAAATCTCGGAAAGTATCTATATTCCCCGCGGAATAGCAACATCCTCATTAGACAAAAAGAAGGCATGGGAATTTGAGCCCTGTAATTATAAAGCAAGTAGAACTATTAAAATTTTCTACATTTCTTGCTTGAAATAACCATTTGATTTATTCTTTTAGATTGGTGACCATATCACCGGCGGAGACATTTATGGGCAAGTTTTTGAAAATTCTTTAGTGAAAAACCATAGTATCATGTTACCTCCTAAAGCCATGGGCACTATTACGCATATTGCAGAAAAAGGAACATATACTTTAGAAGTAAGACACCGATGTCATCATACGTCTAAAGTTATTTTAGTATATAATAATTTTTATTATTATATACTAAATAGGACACCGTTCTCGAGACCGAGTTTGAAGGTCAAAAGTTTAAATATTCAATGATGCAACTTTGGCCTGTTCGATCACCACGTCCCGTTACCGAAAAACTATCTGCCAATTATCCTTTACTCACCGGGCAACGTGTCTTGGACTCACTTTTTCCGTAATTATAATTTTTAATCTACATATTATCCTTTATCTTTTAGTAAGTAAATATCGGTTTTTAAAAATTAAGGTGTGTACAAGGAGGCACTACGGCCATCCCTGGTGCCTTCGGCTGCGGTAAAACGGTTATTTCACAATCTTTGTCAAAATATTCCAATTCTGATATTATCATATATGTTGGATGGTATGTATAATTTTTATATAGAAATTTTTCTTTATTTAAATTAATTTTATTTCTATAAACTTTAGCGGAGAGCGGGGTAATGAAATGGCTGAAGTATTAATGGACTTCCCGCAGGTAAAAGATTTATTATTCACTCACGTTTTAATTGCAACTATATTAATTTTATCTTTTGCATTAGCTTTCTATTACTATCGATGACCGCAAAGAGTCCATAATGAAGCGTACAACATTGGTGGCCAACACTTCAAATATGCCCGTAGCCGCTCGGGAAGCATCAATTTATACTGGTTTGCAATTTAATTAAAAACTTCAAAATTGAGAGTATTAGGCTTATTCGACAATCATTGTTTATACTTACCACTTCTGTTCCCGTGTTTTTACTCAGGAATTACATTATCCGAGTATTTCCGCGATCAAGGAAAAAATGTCGCTATGATGGCAGACTCCACTTCCCGTTGGGCAGAAGCACTCCGTGAAATATCTGGTCGTTTGGCTGAAATGCCAGCAGGTATTTATTTAAAAGGGTATTGTCTACATAATCAATGTGTACATATTGTTTATTTTTATGCAAATATTTTAGACAGCGGTTACCCTGCATATTTGGGTGCTCGTTTGGCTTCTTTTTATGAGCGTGCCGGTAAGGTCACGTGTCTTGGAAATCCAAAGCGTGAAGGAAGTGTTACTGTCGTTGGAGCGTATCCTTAATTCTACTATAGATTGTTTTATTCGATACTTTGTTATTTATTATCACCGTTCATCGTGGGATTATCTTTTAGTGTTTCTCCTCCAGGCGGTGACTTTTCTGATCCTGTTACAACCTCAACCCTTGGTATTGTACAGGTGTTTTGGGGTTTAGACAAGAAGCTTGCTCAAAGAAAGCACTTCCCATCAGTTAACTGGTCTATAAGCTTTTCCAAATACCTCAAAATATTGGAATCCTATTATGAATCTACAGAACCTGATTTCATACCTTTGAGAGATAGAACTAAAGAAATTCTTCAAAAGGAAGAAGATTTATCGGAAATTGTTCAACTCGTTGGCAAGGTTTGTATCTGACTCTTTGTATAAATATATCCATACTTATTTTAACAATATCTACCTCCTATATATACGAATAGAGTGCTCTTGGAGAAGCTGATAAGATTACATTGGAAGTTGCAAGAATTATCAAGGATGATTTTCTGCAGCAAAATGGGTATTCGGAATATGATAGATATTGTCCATTCTACAAGGTAATTAACATTAAATGACCGAATAATTACCGACTGGTTTTTATAACCATATCATATATGTTCCTTTTTAGACAACCTGGATGCTAAAAAATATGATTGGTTTCTATAATGCTGCTACACATGCTGTCGAGGTTACAAACAACGAAATAACGTGGGCTAAGATCAGGGACAATATGGGGGATATACTGTACAAACTGGGTTCTATGAAGTTCGAGGTGAGTATTCCGTCCTTGAATAACTTGTGCCACGATTATTTTTATACATGTTTGCAAATTCTATACCATAGGACCCTGCTGAAGGTGAAGAGATTCTTAGTGAACGTTATCAAAAAATTCACAACGAAATCCAAGAAAGATTTAGACAACTGCTCGAATAGAATCTTGAATTTGCATTAAATTACTTTTCATGGCATCTATTCTCCATTAATATTTATTAATATACTTCAACATACAGGAGTGTATTTAAATTTATATTTTAAGAATGGTATCAATAAAACCACTATATGCATAAACATATTTTTAATTTATTGTTTTAAAGTAGTAAATATTTTTTCCATTTATTTTTTCACTTTAAAACTATTTTTAACATAACTGGTAATAAAATATAATGTTAATATATAAGTTTAGATAAAATATTTAATTAATACATTATTTTAAAGATAAAATTAAATTTATTTATTTATTTTTTTTTTAAATATCCATTGTTAGGTTAGTTAAGTATGTTTTATTAAACATAATATAGATTATACTATTTACAGTATTGCTAAAGATAAAATATTAACTAACTTATTTTAGTTTGTTTTTAAATTTTAAATACAACTTTGGAAGTGTTTTTTGCTCCATTATAGTTGAGTTAATATCTTCAATTATAAATATCATTAACTATTGCAGATTACTAAACAAAATTTTGATTAAGCTTAAAATCCAACCATTTTATATCATTTTTGATTCCTATCATTATTATTATGATTAAGCCTTTATCTGAATATTTTTTTTTTTATTATCTTTCTTTTTACTTTTGAGTTTCTTATTTTTTTGTTAAATAAGATTTTGTAAGTCTTTTAATCTTATTCTTTTAAAAAATTCCTTGAGCTTTTTCTTATTCTATTACTTGTTAATATTATTTGTTTTATACTTTTTTTTTAAAGTGGTTTAAAATCTTCTTTTGATAACAGAGTATTTATTTTCTAACTAATGTCTCTATCTTTTTTCCTCCATATTTTAATTCTTCAACTTTTATTAATAAATCTCTTTTGATTAGCTTTGTAAAAAACCCAACTATATCTTAACTTTTTTCAAATACTCTTTTTATAAGCTTTGTTATCTGTACTTCTATTTCCCTTATTTCTTCTCTATCAACTATCAAAATATTATTGTGATCTTCTTGAGCTTTGTTTTTTTATTTTTTGTCTTTTTTTAGGATATTGGTTTTTTTTTTTATCAGACTTCTTTAATTATATTTTTATAAATTGATATTCTATAAGGTGCTCTATTGTTTTTTGTTTTTTTTTTTTAATTAGTTATACTGATTGAGTTTTTTATTGATTCACAATTAAAGTTATATAGATTTTAGTTTATAAAAAGCTATACTTATAACTATTTTTAGTTTATATTTTCCTACCTGATTCAATATACCTAATTTTACTCTTATAATGAGTATTATATTTGTCAGTTACCCTACTATATCTAGATACCTAATGTTCTAAAAAGTCACTAAAGACTACTATTATTATATAGTATTTTCAAGGGACTGTAATATTGTTCTATTTTTGTAGTTTGTATCTTTAGTTTTATAGAATATATTTAAATCTTTATATAATATATTTTATTATGTTTAGTTCTTCAGAGACTAGATCATTTATTAATATTTTCAATCTTTATGTGATCTCATATAAATCTCTTAGTGATTATTGACAAGTCACATTGATGACTTAAATCTTTCAGTGATCATTTTTAACAACTTTTCAAAGATGGCCTACAGAGATTCTTCTTGATCAAACAAATAAGACTTTAGATCTCTCACAAATATATCCACACCTATGGTTTCCATTATAACTATTTAACTTCATCACACTTCTAGTTTAAGTAAGACCCAATTCTTTAATAACTTTCACAACTGGTATAGATGACCAAAGTCTTTCAATAGCTTTCATATATAAAGATGGATTTCTAAAGGAAGAGACAAAAACAAAAGACAAATATTCTTTATTAGAAAATATTAAAATTTTTAAATTAATAACTATTTAAAAGCTATTCACAATTGTTCTCTATTATCTAAATTATTGATTTATAGTATTTTCTAATCTTTATCCCTATTAAAGTAAAGAGTTATGAATTTTGTTTCTCAAAAAGGAACATAAGTGATTTTAAAATTTTATATGTTAAATATTTTAGAGACCCATCATTATTTATAAGTCTGGTAATTTGAGAAGAGGTAAATTTTATATATAGCCAGTAGAATCTTAAATTAATTAGTATTACTTCTAGTATTCATCAATAACTTTACATATTCTATATAACAGGTTATTGTGATTTCTTTTCCTGATACTAAATCAATCAGAATCTATATACTCTAATTTATGATATCATGGCCAAATAGAAAATTCTATAGGTTGTTTATATACAAGTATACATATGACTAATAAACATATATCTTATATAATATAATATATATTACAAAAACTATTCTCAAGTAGAATTGAACCAGTAACTTATAAATAGTAATCTAAAAATATATCCACTGCATTATTGATTCCTAGGTCTCTTTTTGATTTCTATATGTTAAATAATATCTTTTTTTTTTTTTTTTTTACCTATGGTCAGGTCAGTATTGTGTATTTATTAATCATTAAAAAAACTGATTGACATACATAGAACAATTGCATTATGGCTAAACTAAAAGACTTGTACTGATACACTTGTCAATGACTTTCAATTTACAAAAAAGCTTTAGCCTCTAAATACAATCTTGAGGACAATATTTCACTTTGAACTAAGTTTTGGGTGAAGATTCTCCTAACTTACTCATCATTGTCAACAGGTTGTTACTACTTATTATTCTTCAAAGAACTGAATTCAAGAAACTATAAAAGGGAAAAGGAAAAATAAAAGGAAAGGTAATATCTAAAAATATACAACTATACTATATGAAAATAAAAAGAAAAAATAAAAAATAAAAGTGTTCCATATCCTTAAAAGAATTTCTACTAGAAACCTTATCTCATTAGAAGTCAACTCTTCTGAAATATCCTTCTTCTTTTTGACCATCTGAGGAACTTATCTATACATATTCTTGATTATTTTTTTGTGATCATCTAAAGTACTTATCGCCTACTCAGATCCAATGTCTTGCTCAATGCTTTCTTTCTTTCAGTCTTGATTTGTATCTACCCATGCAGAAAAGATAACTAATGGTGGACCTTAGGTTCTTATATGGCTTCTCAGTCTTGTTAAATAATTCCTGATATCTTCCAGCAGCCATACCTAGTTAAAAGAATTTTACTGGTATTTATCTTGATTGTGATATCATTATACAACATTTGGAGAAATGCATTCTCAATCCTATAAAAGGGCAGTGTTTTACATTCCTCTGCTTTTTGATCTTATAGCCTAACCAGGATAAGAAAATAACCTCCTTCGGGTATTTTCTTGACCAGGATGATAAGAAGTTGAAGACCTTGGCTTGAACAAATAACTATCTTTTTATCACTTAGGGAATTTAGTGCTTATTCTAATGACCTCATGATTTTTTTGCTTTAGTTAAACTTCATTTGGTGAAGTGAAGAAATTTATATCCTTGATTTCTCTTTCTATTATCAATAACATCATTAAAACATATAATGTAATCAGTAAGAGCTTGTTTACATTTTGCTACCAACATGTTTCATGTCAATAAATCACCTTTAACAAAAGCTATGTCAATTTTGTGTTACTTCAAAATTCAGGATCAAGCTGAAGTAGCAAAATTCCTAAAAACCTCTGATAAATGAGCAACTCTAAGAGGATAAAACAGTGGGGAGGAAAGTTTTATGATTTATGCTTTTGTTCACCTGTTCATCCACTGTACAAAATCTCTAGTTGCACTATTGCTTCAGGAGATAGGCTTTCAGTACTTCACTATTAGTTTTTCTTCCTTTTAGAACTTTCTTGCCATAGGTAAAAAAGATGTTTCTTGACTTTTCTTGATTATTAGAAATCAAGTTTTTGTTTAAAAAGGAATATAAACAAGAGAAGGGATTGGGAGGAACTCTTGAAGTTATCCTTCAAGTTGGTTTAAGAAAAGTAATAAGACTTTATTAGCAGAAAAGTATAAAACTTTTTTGCAAATGTCTTTTTAATGTGTTGTCAAGGGATCAGTAAAAAGAGTTTTTTATATATTAAATAATATCTTTTTTTTTTTTTATACCCATAGTCAGGCCAGTACTATGTGTTTATTAATTATTAAGAAAACTGATAGAAATATATAGGACAATTACATTATGGTTAAACTAAAAGACTCATACCGACATACTCATAAATAGCTTACAATTCTCAAAAGAGCTTCAGCCTCTAAGTGCAATCTTGGGAACAATATTTCACTCTGAACTAAGTTTTGGATGAAGACTCTTCTAACTTACCCATCATTGCCAGCAGGTTGTCATTGCTTATTATCCTCTAAGGAACTGAATTTGAGAAACTACAAAAGGGAAAAGGAAAAATAAAAGGAAAGGGAATATCTAAAAATATGCAAGCGCACTATATGAAAATAAAAAGAAAAAAAAAATTAAAATGCTTCATGTCCTCCAAAGGATCTCTGCTAGAAACCTCTTCTCATTAGAAGTCAACCCTTCTAGGATATCCTTCTTCTTTCTAACCATCTGAGGAACTTATTCATCTATATTCTTGATTATTTTCTTGTGACCATTTGAGTTACTTATCGCCTACTCGGATCCAATGTCTTGCTTAACACTTCCTTTTTTTTGGTCTTGATTTTGTATCCACCTATGCAGAAGAAGATGACTAATGGTGAACTCCAGGTTCTTATGTAGCTTTTCAGTCTTATTGGATAATTCCCAATATTTTCCAGCAGTCACACCTAGTTAAAGGAATTTTACTGGTGTTCATTTTGATTACAATATCATTACTCAATGTCTGGGGAAATGCATTCTCAATCCTAGAGAAGGATAGTGTTTTACATTCCTCTGCTTTTCGGTCTTACAGCCTGACTGGGATAAGGAAATAACCTTCTTTGTGTACTTTGCCTGACCGGGATGATAAGAAGTTGAAGGCCTCGGCTTGAACAAATAATTACCTTTTCATCACCTAGGGAATTTAGTGCCCATCCTAATAACCTTATGATTTCTTTGCTTCAGTTAAACTTCATTTGGAGAAGTGGAGG